TCTCTCTCTCTCTCTCTCTCTCTCTCTCTCTCTCTCTCTCTCTCTCTCCCTCTCTGTTCCTCCCTGAACTACTGACTAATCTCCGAGTTACTTGGGCTTGGTGGATTTTAATGGTTAAGCACATCTCTAAACAAAATCATGAATTAGTCTTAGGCCTTACATATAGATTTATATTATGTTTTGAGACGGTGTTGGTATTGTTTGAAGAAGTTATAAAAAATTAGGCAGGGGTTTTTGGTAAAGCTTACAAAAAGATACCCTATAGTGAAAGCCAGCCTATTTTACCAAAAAGTAGAAAATATCATATACTTACAACACTGTTTATATGCTAGCCTGGGAATATCAAGAAGTGTTTATATACCGTTTAAATAAACTAAACTAGTTGACTTTAAGTGACTATACCATAAATTTCAATGGCTGTAAGAGAATAAACTCTTAAAATTTGTTCAATATAAGTGCGTAATATCGTATAACTAAAGTTGCATAGCTCCAGCTCTTGTAGTAGCTGAGATCCATTGAACTAAAACACTCCAAAAGTAAAAGCTCTGCCAATTGCCATTAGAGATCTGATGTCAAGTTCAAGTCACCTTCAAATGGCGCATGATACCCACACCTTTCACGCTGACAGGGTATCGAAAAGCCACACAAAATATTCGCCATAAAATTGTTGGAGACGCATGTCGTCAGCTTCCATAAAAAATCTTATCAGATTTACAGGCGAAACTTCTAAGTAAACCCATAAAAGAAATTACGCGAGGTTTCTGTATTTTGGTTTCAACTTCTGTTTTTTGTTTTTTTTTTTTTTTTATTTCATTTACTCTAAATATTTTGTAGTGTCTCGTGTTGGATTCCCTTTTTTATATGCTACACATTAAAAATGCTTGGTGCTTATGTAAGACATAGATCATAATTGTAGTTACCATGCGTTGATTATTCAAATGTACACACATACATATATATGTATGTATATGTTGTATGTTATATATTTGATAGGTATACATAAATACGGAAGGTAGCGCAAGGCGCCTTAAACTATATAAATTAATACATTTCTTGGTTAGTTTTTTTTTTTATGATAATACAAACTAGTTATATAATAGAAAAATTCATTGTGTTTACCTTTTGAAAACTATCACACATTAATCAAAACTACTCTATTAATTATGATATTACTTAGCTAGGCATACTTTTGTTTTTGTTCTTTATGATTTATAGATGCATATATTATGTCTTTAATACTAGGCTGTTCCTTTGATTTAAACCATAAACTGGGGCAAGATTTTTGTTTTTAAATATATGAGGGATTAATTAACTTATAGAGCATAAAATATTTCCGTATTTATATAAATATAATAAATAAATTTAAATGAAAAAAAAATTAATAAAATATATATATTTAATTTTTAAGAAATTCAATTGAATAATATATATATTTATTTATTTTTATCAACAATTTAGAAATTATGTTTTAATTATAATAGAACTTTATTTAATTTTTAAAATATTTTTCCCATATATATTTTTTATATTTTTCTAAAAATACCCAAAAAATATTATGTAAAATAAAAATAATAATTTTAAACGTTTGGAATTTGGAATACAATATTTTTAAGTAAATTTAAATTGAATTTAATTATATATATATATATATTTTTTAAAATTTATTATAGAGTTTTAAATAAAAGGGAAATTATTAGCATAGATCTGAACAGTCTTATATATAAATACATATGTATATTATCCATGTAGAGAGCATCAAGCCAGCTGCATAGAATTTCATTTGAAGCGGGAATACCATTAAAATTTTTACTTCTTTTTAGCTAGATATAACTACAACATATATATATGTATATCCTTAACCTCAGGGACGCTAGAGTTTTAAAATGCCATTAGATAGATTCGTTTATACTGTTTAGTATTTAATTTAGTATTTTTATTTAGTATTTAATTTTAGTATTTGTATTTAGTTAAGATTAATAATACTTAGGCGCTGCTGCTGGAACGCTCGGTGCTGAGTAGTTCGCCAGCTCGCAGCGTCTCCTGCGGCATTTGCTCCACCTCAATGTACTCCTCCTCCTCCTGCTGCTGCGCCGGAGGCAGCTCCGCGTCGTTGGGCGAATTCGCCGGATCCGATTCGTATAGCTCCTGCTTGACATGGCTGGGACTGAGCGTTAGTGGGGAACTGGCCGTCGAGCTGTGCGTCTCCTGCTTAGGTGGACGTGTTGCTCCTGCTGCTGCTGCTGCTGCTGCGGCTGCTGCTGCTGCCATTGCTGCCGGCTGAGCGTGCAGCTCGTGCGCTCGCTGATGATGCTCCAGCTCGGCACGGAAGTAGAATTTCTCCGGGCACAGGTTGCAGTCGTACGGTCGTGTGCCGTGCTCCGCTATGTGGGCGAGCAGGCCAGCGGGCGCCGTGAACACGGCCGAGCAGATGTAGCAATTGTAGCCACGCTGCTCGGTGCCCGCGAAGGTGTGCTCGACGAGATGCTCCTGCAGCTTCTGGGCATGGGGCAAGATCATCTTGCACAGATTACAGCGATGCTCCAGATAGGCGCCAGTTGATGCGGCGGCGGCGGCGGCTGGGCCAGCGATGGCCGTAGGCTGCACCTGCTCCTTGCGCTTGCCATTCAGATTGTGCTTGCGGCAGCACTTGTCGCACAACTTGGCCGTCTCGCCCGCCCCCGGCAGCGGCTCCAGGCACAGGGCACAGACGGGCTCCTGCAGGCTGTTGCAACTGGGCGACTTGGTGTGGAACTTGGCGTGCAGACTCAGCTCGAATTCGGAGTGCAGCGTCTGGCGGCAGCAGATGCAGGCCATGGGCAGATTGCCGTCGTTGCCATGCTCGCTCAGATGGGCACGGAAGGCGGCCACGTGCTCCAGCTGCTGGCCGCAGTGGGCGCACTTGCCGGACTGGCCCACCTTGGAGTGCTGCAGCTTGTGCTCGGCGAGAATGGCGGGCGAGGGGAAGATCTCGTCGCAGATGAGACACTTGTGCTTGCCGCTCGAGTTGTGGCAGCTCTTCATGTGCTGCTCCAGCTCGGCTCGGCTCTTGTAGTTGCCGGAGCAGTAAGCGCAGCGCAGGCTGACGCCCGTCTTCAGATTGTGGGCGAGCTTGCGATGCGAATGGAGCTCGGCCTCGCTGCGCAGATCCTGGCGCTCGCACATGCCGCAGCTGTAGCTGTTGTTGTTGTTGCTGCCGCTGCTGTTGCTGCCGCTCGCTGCTGCTGCTGCTGCTGCTGCTGCTGCTGCTGCTGTCGCGGATTGCACGGCCTGCGGCGTGGGCAGCTCCGCGGCTGGGGAATTGGCCTTGGCGGCGTACATCTCCATCAAGTAGCGCTGGCTCAGGCCGTACATGAGAGCAGGATGCGGACTCTGCTTGGTGTCCACCTGGAGCGGGCTGTTGTAGAACTTGCCCGGCGGATTGCTGCCCCCAAAGAGACCCTTGAAGGCGACATTGTAATCAATATTATTATTGTTGTTGTTGTTGTTGTTGGCGGCATTATTGGCTGCGGCAGCGGCAGCAGCAGCCGCTGCCAGTGGCGGCAGCAGCGCATTCACATACAAGCTGCCCATGCCGCCCGGCACGGGCGACTCCTTGTCCTTGATGCCGCCGTGCTGGCTCTGCATGTGCCTGTCCAGCAGGAACTCCACATGGAAGGTCTCCGGGCAGCTGGGGCAGCGGAATTGTCGCGCATGCGCCGCCAAATGGAAATGCATCTCCAGCTCCGAGGAGCAGACGGCGCGGCAGAACATGCACTGCAGCGGATTGGCCGGCGCAGGTGGATTACCGGGCAGGCTGGCCTGGTTGCCCAGCTGATGGCGTGTCTTCACATGCACGTGGAAGTCGCCATCGTTGCGGAAGAGCTCCAGGCAGGCGCTGCAGCGCAGCAGCTTCGACTCCTGGCTGTGGGCGCAGGCCAGGTGCAGCTGCATGGACATGCGATTCTCGCAGAGCTCCGAGCAGAGCACACACTTGAGCATCGTCTGGACGTGCTCGGCCAGCAGATGCTGATGCAGCTCCTCCGCCTTGGCATAGGACTTCCCACAGCTGGCGCTGCAGCAATTGAACTCGGAGCTGCTGATCAGAAAGTGGGCGACCACATGGCGCTCGTACTCGCCCTGCTCGGGCAGACTGAGCCCGCAGTGCGGACAGATCAGCTGCATGCCCTCGGCTATGTGGCTCTTCAGATGATTGCGGAAGCTCTCAAAGTCCGGCAGGCCGGCGTTGCACTGATTGCAGAAGAAGATGCCAGGAGGCGGCGGAGGAGCTGGCGCCGACTGCTGCTGCTGCTGCTGCTGTTGCTGTTGCTGCGTGGGCGAGGTCAGCGGGCGGCGCTTGTTGCTGCTCAGATCGGTGGGCAGCTCCTGCTCGGGCTTCTCCGCTGGCGCCAGATCCGACTTCAGCTTCGACTGCGGCGAGCCGAGCCGATGGAAGTGCTCGTAGTAGGAATTGGGACTGCTCAGGCGATCCAAGTGCGTGACTCTCATGTGCTGGAACAGCGCAGCGATATTCACAAACTTCATCGTGCAGTATTCGCAGCTCAACTGGAAGCCATTCGTCTGGCCATCCGACTCCTTCGACTGCTGCTGCTGCTGCTGCTGCTGGGGCTGCGGCTGCTGCTCGTGTGTGCTCTGCAGATGCGCGTTGAGCTGCTCGAGGCTGCTGAACTCCGTCGCCTTGGGGCAGTAGCTGCAGCGCAGCAGCGGCGTGGGCGTCGGCGTGGCTATCGTTGTCGCCGTGGGCGTGGCCGTCAGCTGGCCACGCGCCCGCTTGGGAAACTCCAGCCGACTGGGACTGCTGTCGGAGGCCAGCGCCAAGGCGTAGCGTCGCTTATGCAGGCTCCCATTGCTCGAGATCGAGGCGGAGCCCGTGGAGCGTGGACTGTAATTGAGCGCATTGGGATTGCCGCCAGCTGCGAGGATTGCGGCGTTCTTCTTGTGCTTCTGCATGTGCGAGGTGAGGGCGGCGGCCGTGTTGTAGCCACGATTGCACATGCTGCACTGGAAGGGCTTCTGTATGTCGTGCGTCTTCATGTGGATCTTCAGATGATCACTAGATGGGGGGAAAGGTGGAGAGGGAGGGAGCGAGATAGAGAGAAAAATGGGGGTAGATAGGAGTAGAGTATTAATTATTGAATTACATATGTATTCGAGCATAGAGAGCATTGATCTTAAAGTATTTTCTATGGAACGTTGGCTATGAATGCAACTGTTATCTCTCTTTTATCTCTCCATATAGTTTTTAAATTATTCTCGCTGAATTGTCTACAAAGTAAGCGATGGAATTATCTATTATTATGTTAATATCTAGAGGATAGCATACAAAAAATATATAAATATAATATTTAAAATAATAATAATAATAAATAAAAATAAGTTTAACAGATATTTTAGAAATTACATTTCTTATGGCATGGTAAGATAATTAAAAAATATGAAAAACAGATGAATATATAAAAATAAAAATAAAATAAAAACAAAGTTATCAGTTAATTAAACAATTACATCTCTCATAAGATAAATAAAATATATTAAATTATTATTAAAAAAAATAATAATAATAATGATAATAATAACAGACATTTGAGAAATGACTTTATCATAAGTGGATAAACAAAAATAAAAAATTATTATAGAAAAAAAAACTTAGTATCACATATACATACATATATAAGATTTATGTCTCTTTATGCTTTATGCTAAAATAAAAAATAATAATAAATATATAAATATATAAAATTATTATTTAGAAAAATATAAAATTATTATTTATTAAAAAAATAACTGAGTATAATAGATATATGATACATATATTACCTTATGCAATTATTTATTTAAAAGTAATTAGATCTATTAATTATTAAATTATTTAAAAAAGCCAAGTATAATATACACATATATATAAGATATTACACCTCCCATATTTATCTCATCCTCCTCATATCAACATTTGCCTCGCTCAACTTCTTCCAGCTGTCCAGAGCCTCTACAGCCGTTCTGTTCCCCCTATCAGGCACTCTCTACTTATATCCCTTATCAATTATTATGTACCCACACTCAGCACACACTTACCTTCTGGAGAAAGCAGCCTCGCAATGCGGACACTTGTAGTTCCTCTCATTTGTATGCAGCTTCTTATGGCGATCTCGGGAGCGTTTGTGCTTGAACAGCTTTGCGCAGTACTCGCACTTGAAAGGCAAATGCTCGGCATGACTCTGAAAAGAGAGAGAGAGATGGAGAGATGGAGAGAGAGAATGAGTTAGAGAGATATATCTACTATATAGTTAGAGATAGAGACAGTGTTTAGTGCGAGCTGAGCTCAGCAATCTTTAGTTCCTCGACCTAGGCCGAGGTTGGCTAAGCTAAGCGCGTCTGACTAACCTATTTGAAATTCTTAGAAGTGGTCGAGCTGTTGTCGACTCGCCTGATGCCTGTCTTGAATTTATTGCTGCAGTTGGCTAAATAAAGAGAGGCAAAAACAATTCAAACTGATTCAGAATCTGCATAGCAGCCGTTGGGGCGGCAGGTGTGGCTGGGCGGGGCGGGGCAGGCGGGGCAGTTGGACGTAGGTGTTTCTTAGCCTGTGGCTTGTGGACAAAAATTCATCTAAATGCGCAACGCAAACGCCACAAAAAGGCGAGGGGGGGGGGGAAGGGGAGGGGCTGTACACACACACACACACACACCCGCAACAGCAACCGGTTTACTTTTTGGGTTCTTTGGCGGTCGGCGCATACGCTTTGAAGTATGTTAAAAAAAAAAATCGGACTTTTGTTGTTGTTGTTGCAAAAAATTAGCCCATTTGTATGCAAGCCCCCGCAGTTGAAGTTTGGCTTATTGCACAATATGAGCGTCGCGTTAGCCTGTGCAAAGTGTTTGGGCCTGGTCTGGGGGGATTCTCGTGTCGGTTATGGTTTTTTAAACTGTCGCGCCAATCATCCGCATCATCATCATCAGCATATGTATATGATCCAAGCCCCGCTCGCCCAGCAGGATCAAAGGCGAGCGCATTATGTTTGAGCCGCGATAAGCGATCATCGGGCAGTAGTCCTAAACACAGTTGCAATTGGGTTAACAACTTGTTAGCCGCTGATGTCATGGGCGTTCTTATACCCTCCCAGAGCAACAACAACAACAACAACAACAAAGAGAGGCAGGGGGGGGGGGCAGACAAACACATCAACATGATGAGACATGCCTTCAAGTGGGTGAACATCGAGCGTTACGTGTTTGGGTTTTTGTTTGAAATGCTACCGAAATTGTATTCCCCTCTCTCTCTCTCGCTCTCTCTCGCTCTCTCTCTCTCCCTGCTGCCCCTCTTTGGCTTTGTACGGCACTTTGCCGTCCTCTAAGAATGCTCTGTTTTATATGTATAAAGGCCGCTAGATATGCATCGCATATAGAGGAATTTTTTTTCGGTTTTTTGCTTATTTTTTTTTTTTTTTTTTTTTTTTTTTTTGTAGTGAAACTTTTGCAGGCAATGAACATTTTTGCACGAATGCGATCAAACAGATAAGCAGGGCGGGAGCTTAGAGATAAAAATAAATCATTTTTATAGGCAAGATCCAAGGATGATAGATGACGCTCTATATATAGTTTGGAGTAGTCTATAAATAACAATTGGCAATTGGAATAGAAATTGAATATGCATTTCATAATGAGGAATATCAATTGAAAGAAGTTTTGGCATATGACTAAAAATGTTATGGGAGAAACTTAGGAAGGTTCTCTTGTTATAAAGCGGAGTATTTATATATTACTGAATATTGCAAAGCAGAATGGGTATTCTTTCTATTAACAGAAAATATGTAAAATTGCAGCAAATCTGAGATATATAAAAAACAACAAAAATTATAATAAAAAAAAATCTTAATAAAAAAAATCTTAATAAAAATGCGAATTTTTAAATAAACTAAATAAGTTCAGAGTAATTTTACTTAGAATATACTCTCTAACTATGCTGAGTATATTTTATATAGAGTATCTAAGTTGAATTTATTTTCATTTCATAACTCGAAGCCTTGAATTGGAAGACTTGTCCATGCATATTTATTATTAAAATTTATATGGTATATATATAATATGGTTTAATTCCATTTATGTTTTCCATATTCCTATACGTTTATAATATATTTTTAAAATATTAATAAATAATATACTATTAAAATAATATATATAAACAAAATTTCTTGTTTTCTATGTTCTCATAATTTATTTCTCTACTCTTAAAGGTTTTCATTATATTTTGCTTTATCTAAGCAAGTCCTTGATTAACTAATTCTAGTTCTTTTACCTAATGTTCTATTTTACATACATCATTTAGCTAAACACTTCAAAACTTTTAACTTCTGTTAGTATGCCATTTCTTAAGTTGTTATTCCAGCTATCCTCATTATGTCAATCTTAACTTTTCGCATTTCAAATTTGCTTATTCGTAACCCAGTTCTTAGACAATCGATAGCAATTAACGAATGAAGCGCCTTGACATTTGATTACTTAATGTGGCTGGAGGGGATGCCGCAGTGAGCAGTGACTGACACCAAACATTGTGGCCCACTTGGAGTCACCCCAGAAGGCAGACGTGCGTCAACCACCCAGAAGAGGCAGCGAAATGCGCTAAGCGCCTTACGTAATGTCACGTTGGGTAATTAACCCATTCGCCGTGGGGCTCTGTCACCCAGTGGAGGAGCTGTGCTGCTCCGTTGCTATGAACTCACCTGTACGTGATGCTTCAGGTAGCCGAGCCGTGGAAATGATTTATCACAGAACTGACACTGATAGGAGCCGTCGCCTCGACTTTTAATCCCCTCCCCTGTCAACTTATCAAACTTGGCGGCTGTGCCATGTCCTTGTCCTTGTCCTGCAGCCAGCTTGGCATCCTTATTGATTTTTCGCAGCTTGTTCGCTATTTTCAGCGCCTGCTGATGATGATAATGATGATGATGATGATGATGCAAATGTGACGGTCGCTTCGGTTTGTTCAGCTCCTGCTCCAGCTCCGTTTGCTGTGCCGTATCGCCATTCGCCTTGGCCGACTCCTCGCCCGTCTCCTCCGAGCCGGCCTGCTGCGACTGCTGCTGCGACTGCGACTGCTGCTGCGACTGCGGCTGCTGCAGCTGTGAGTTGGGCGTCAAAGTGCCATCGGAGATGCTGGGCGAATAGCTCGACGATGTGTGCGTGCTGTACATATCTAAAAGAAAAAAAAAAAAACAATTTATAGGGTATCAAGTAGTTTGTAATTAAGCGCTTGTCGTGTGTGGGCAGCGACTGCATCCTTATTAGCTCGCCGGCTCTCTCAGAGGTCTCGCTGTGACTAAGACAGGAAATCAAAATTGGTTGCCAACACTTAATTCAATTAACACATGCAACATCGTGTTTTTGGTGTTGCCTCCACCCCAGACACTAGTCAAGCAGATTCGCCTCCCCCTCCCCATCCCCATCGCCAACGACAGTTAATCTCCCACTCTCGCTGACTGTAAATGAGCCGCACGTTTGTTTCATGCAAACTAATTGCGCTCACTGTACTTAAGAGCATTTTAATTACAAGTTCTGACTGCCACTTGACTCCGCATCACACATTAGCATTAGCATCGGGGCAATGAGGGTCACTCCAATAAATACACTGAGCGCAATTGATGAGAGTGAGAGAGAGAGAGAGTGTGTGCTGAGTGTGTGTATATGTATATAAATATATATATATATATTTTTTTTTTGTATTGTATGTATATTATATTATGTATATATTTCATGAGATAAATTAATATCTAATATTGCTCTGAATTTGTTGTATATATTTTATATTAAATTATATTATGACATGCATATAATAAAATATTTTGTATATACATATTTATTATTTATATATTTTATTTTTATATATATTTTTTTAATTTTATATATATATAAAATAAAATATTTATTACATATTCAAATTATATTTTCATATGATAGTCACAAATAGTTTTTAAATCATAACAGTAAAATTAACTCTTCATATCATATTGTTAATAATGTTTATATTAAAAGTTTAGTTAAGATAACTTTGGTTAAGAAAATTATATATTTTATTTTGTACTGTTATGATAATTATAGTTGGTTTTATTTATTTTTAAGCAACACGTTTGCATATTTTTTAAATTTTTTGTTTTCATATTTATAATTGTAGTTGGTTTTAGTTATTTATGGATTTCATTTTTTTTTTATTATTTATGGATTTAATTTTTTTTATTATTATTATTATTATTATTTTTTTTTTTTTTTTTTACAAAAATTTTATATATATTTTTTTGAATTTTTTGGCATATCTTCTTATGTAATGCTTCGTATTATATATTTTATTTATTTTTTTTTTTTTTATTTTTTTAGTTGTATTTCTGATATAAACTTCAATCAAAACTATTTTCTAAAATTTTTAAATATTTTTATATTAAACTAAAAACATAATTATTTATCATACAAAATTGATTCATAGTATAAAGTTTTTTCTGTAAGCATCGTCAATTTAAAATATAATATTATTATATAATATATATACTGCATACAGGAAAGCCAGAGATCAGATCAAAGTGCTCCTCATATTTGTCACTATCTCGTCAATTAATTTCGCTCAGTGTAGCTGTCTACTTCTATACGTTTTACTCATCTATCACCACGCGCCAAGTGTCGTCTCTTATTTTGTTTTCGGTTGACTTTCCGTTTCGGAAAAAACTTTAATTGAAGCTAATTGTAGCCGATGCCTATGTCCGTCCCTCTGTCTATCTATACAGGCATACATATGTACATACATATGTACATTATTATCTGTCTAGCTATATCAGTTAACTATGCAGCTCTGTTTGTTTTGGCTGGCATCGCTTGAACTCTGATCCGAGTGGGTCGGATCTTCTTAGGAGCTCCTCAGGCAACCACATTTGGCCCCTTAATGAGGAAACATGAAAATAATGCATCAATTTAATTAATATAGGCGTCAATTGAGCAGCATCTGCGACTCTGTTAACAGTTCTCAGTTTCTGGAGCTACTTGGGTCAAAGAAAGTTGAAAGAGATTTTGAAAAATCTTAAGATTTGATGATGGGGGATGTCAAATATCAGTTGAAGGGGTTGGAACAGATTGCAGAAACAGCTATGAAAAGCAGTTGGAGAGGGATTGATAAATATTAGGGAATATTTAGGTGGGCTGGACAATTTTGATTTGAGTAAGAGGAGTTTAGAGATGTGATGGGATTAAATAGATTTGAGATCAATATAATATAAATATAATAATTGATAATTTGCGCAATATATAACAGATGAAATATTAAAATAGAATAAGATTTTATTATATTTTATATATAGTCCTGCATAGTATAATTGCTTCAATAATTCTAGGAATGTATTTCATATATATGTATGTATACTGGTATAGCCAAATTTATAATATATGAATTCCAGTGAGCTAATAATATATCATCAAAGTTTTCGCTAGCTAACTCATAGAAAACCTATATATCTATATAAGGCATAAACATATATACATGATATATGATATTAAGCTTTGCATATACATATGTACATACGCCTAAAATCTTTTATATAAGTTAAGCTAGCTAGTTTTTCAAGGCTTTTTATAATGTGGGAATAAACTCAAAAGAATGTAAAGCAAATATTAGTCTAAATCATCATTAATTTAGATTTTAACATTAAGCTTGTTAGTAAGTTTTTTATGTGCAAGACTTAAGGCTTAGTCGCACCTATCTATATGCCTAAACGGTGTATAGAATGCTGACAGCCTAAATTAAGTTATTAACGGCATTAAAATGTATTTCAAATTTATATTAATTATAAAGCAGCATCGTTGACCTATGTATGCTCTGCTTAAGTAATACTTGTAGATATATATTATACACATATCTCAAAATATTATAATATGAATATTTATTCAAATCCAGATAAAGTTTTTCATTTAAGCCTTCCACTTCCCAGGCACCCATTACAAGACTCTCCCCACTTTTGCATATTTGTACACCCTGAACCCGTTTGGAATTGGGAATTCAGGGCATAATCATTTAGTTATTATTCTCTAGTTAACACCCACACTAATTACCGTTATTGGTTATCTCCTTGGTCGCCTGAATCTTTTCAATTAAATTCTCTAAACGCGAACTGGGACCGCGATACAACATCTTTAAGGCCATCATGGCATTGTCAGCAAGCAAGCAAGCAATCAATCAATCAAGCAGTTGATCAATCAATCAAACACAATCAACACTAAACACTTATCACTAAGAACTTTGAAGCTGCTCCATAGGAATTCGCGGAATGCTTTGTTGCCTTTGGCTATTCGCTTGAATTAAAATTACAAATTTTGTTATTCAATTAACGCGCACGACACCAAAGGATCGCAACGGTTGTTGTTGTTGTTGTTGTTGTTTATGATGTTGGCGCGACAATGAGGACGTCCTAATGCCGCGAGCACCAAAATGTGACTAAATCAGAGCCAAGAGCCAAGCGCCGTAGGAAACCCGAAGCAGTAAACGCCGTCGCTGTCGACGCCGTCGTCGTCGCAGCAAACAAAAGCAACGGGCGTCAACGCCTATTCAACCAACAGCAGCAGCAACAACAACAACAACGAAAACGACAGCTATAAATGCGAGCACTTGGCGAACCAGTTGGTTGCCCAGCGCATGCGTGTGTGTCTGTGTGTGTGTGTGAGTGTGTGTGCGCTTGCATGTGTTGGTGCGTGTGCGGCCTGCCTTTTGGGATTCTCGCACCAAGCGCGCGGCGTCGGCGTCGCTGCTGCGCTGCCAGCAAATGAGAAGCAACAAAGCAAAGCATTAAATGGCGCCCCATACAGAAGCGCACACACACACACGCACACACGAACACACGCTAACGGAAGCCGAAACGCAGCCATGCGTGAGCGAGCGAGCGCAACCCAGCATACACAGAGAGAGAGCAAGAGCGTCAATGTGTGTCTGTGTGTGTGTGTGTGTGCTTGTGCTGCCTATGTACAGCCAGTCAAAAGGCGGAGCATGGGAGCCCCTATGGTGCGACTGTCACATTGGGCGTTCATTTAGCTTATGGGCGCGGGTGGGCGAGAGGGGGAGGGGGGGGTGAATGCGCACATTTTTTGTTAATTTGCTGTGGAAGGGGAGGTAGCTGTACATTTTGATATATATATTTCTTATTTATGTGGATAAAAAAGACGAACGAAGCTGAGGCCGCAAAGAAATATGCAAATTAGGCAAAATGTCAGGTGTTGAAGCTTTTGGAAAGTTTTTTTTTTTACTTATTTTAACTGCTATTGTGTGTTGTGCTTCTTCTTCTGGTTTGGTTTCTATTTGCGTTCAGGTTGGTCGACTGTGTTGGCAGGTAAAATGAAAAAAAAGGTTTCTAATTTTGTTGAAAGCTGAGGTTTTCTAAGAGGATGTTGCGCCAATTAAAGTATTAAATATTTTACAATTTATAATTTATGAATGGATTTTTTGTGTAAATATGTATATCTTATAGCTTATACTTCATTTACAATAAATAATAAATATATGATAGGAGGATGAATGTTTTTTTTTTTTAAATTTTTTTTATATGTTTACATGCTTTTAGTCGACAAAAATTCATCATTGCTTTTACTATTTATATATATATGTATATATTTTTTTTTTTTATTTCAATAACAAAACAATTTTAACAATATAGGATTATGCATCTTAATAAAATGTTTTTCAATTTATTTATATTTAAGGAAGTAATTTCTTTGCATCCTCTGATAGCATAGCACTTAAAGATATTATTAAAGTTTATATATTTTTTTATATTACATAATCACTTAAAACAAACACAGTTTTTAATAGAATTACAAATCGGGAAATATTGGGAAGGTGAAATGATTTTTTAGCTCTCTCAAGCAGAAGAATGGGTTAGCTTGGCTAGCATAGAATAGTTTAACTGCATTGGAATAACATAAACATAATAAATTAGTTCATGAAAAATGGGAAACTATACTTTTCAAATATTATTTGTATAATTCATATTCACTCTTGTTAAAAGAATGTTAAATTAAGTTTAAAATTTATTTGAATAGCATTAATTGAGAAATCAGATAAACTTTTGGTGATATGTGTAATATATATTGCGCACATAATTTATCACTCTATTCCATTAGGTCATAGCTTCCCATTAAAGTTTTTATGTACCTGCCAAAGTTTTGTTTTTC